TTACCGTTGCTATGCCCGACAAGCCATGGTGCGCTCACGCCACACATCCTCACTCACACAGTGAAAAATACATCGCAGAGCAAAGAGGAAACTGACAATGCGCCGACAGAAATACAGAGCAGGTTACTTTCGGTATGAAACAAAGCCTCAGCTTTCAAAATTTGTCATTTTTTTAGGAAACTCAAACAATAAGTTCAAATCCACCGATGTAAATCTACTCTCCTGTCTGGTTTGTTTGTCGCCAGATTCGGTGTTATGATTGGTCAGATCGCCTGTCAATCAAAAGAGGTCAATTGCTGGTGCTTTCACTAGAACTAAACTCATAAACTCAAATTTACCTCCTACCTTCAATGAAATAAATAAAACAGAGCAACTGTTCTTCCCTCAGTATATCATGTCATGAGCTAACTGAACTAAAGCTGAATTTCAGACACAAACATGTCGACTGATTAATCTCCACGGATCCAAGAACATTCCTTATAACCTGTCTACATATGGTCAAGGTAAGCAAACATTATGACTATTTGGACACTGATGAACTCAACATTGGGGATCAGAACTAGTTTAATTAAGGTTGCAACGAGTGATAATGTCACTGTCCATCCTAACTTGCGAGATGAATTAAAACAGCTTTCCTTTCAAATACCCCTTTCTGGTCATCTGTAATTAAATATTAGCTATGAATTCTTCTAAGGTGAAAACATGGTGACACCATCAAAGTAGAACTCCAGGCATGTGAGAAGGGTGTGACAGGAAACTGGTACATGCATTGATCCAGTGCTTACTGTGTATAGAATAGAGGTAAATATAATGCCATGGTAATCAGGAACCACAGTGCCACAGCAAGGACAGTATGAGGTGACATTGACTATGTAGATTTATTCTTCACTAAATAGCATTTAGAGCTTCTCCTCTCACACTTGTTACACACTATACAGTCCTATAGTGAAAATTAGTGACAGTTAGTGAAAAATTGACCAAAAGTGACAGTAAAGACATTTATAATGTTACGAAAGATTTAGATTTCAAATAAATACTGTTCTTTTGGACTTTCTATTCTATCCTGAACAAAAAAAATGTTCCACAAAAATATTAAGCAGCGCAACTGTTTTGACCATCGATAATAATAAGAAACACTTTGATAATAATAAGAAATGTTTTTGAGCACCAAATCAGCATATTACAATCATTTCTGATTCCTAGATGGGCATCTTACCATCACTGGAATAAATTAGATTTTAAAATATATTAAAATAGAAAACAGTTGTTTTTAAGTTACATTAATATTTACTGTTTTTACTATATTTTGTTTAAATGCAGCCTTGGTGAGCATAAGAGACATCTTTTAAAATACATACATTTATACATTGGCAAAGCAAACATGTTTATTTATGTGGACATGGTAACATCAGATGATTATATCAAGAAAGATGGCTAAATATTTGAAGATTAATCAGTCTATCGTTAATGAAAAGGCTTTCATTTTGTGAAATACTATTAATGTAAAATTCTCATTACATACTATACTATCAATGTAACTGAAAAGTTTATTATTAAATTCTTATTAACTTATTAGCATTATTATTAACTTATTAGCATTTAGTTTGGCCTCCTTTGCTTTAATGTAAACCTGATTATGCTGTTAGCCTGGATAATTGAAAGTGATACAAGGAGAATCTCATGACAAAGCAAACACATGTATACACGCTTATGAGTATACAACCACCTCTCCCTCCCTTTCACACCTCTGGCCCTCACTGGCACACAGAGATCATAAACATGTACACAATTGTGCCTTTCCTTTAAATGTGTCCCAATACACACTCAGCAATCACCCACTTTCTTCTCGTTTATGTGCACACACACCATTTGGCTGGGGTTCATTAAAAATTCACAGTTTGGTCCATTAAAGATTCACCACAGCAGTGCTGTTACGTTTATCAGGCCTCTGCCAGTCGCCCTTCTGCAAGTAACGAGGATTCATTCCAGGGCCCTGATATTACAGCAAGGCCACGATGCTGCAGCTGATCTTTGGGAGGTTAGAGAGAGCCAGAGAGATGTGGAGAGGCAGAAAGTGGTGAAGGTCCTACCCACTTTTTCCATTTCGAGCTACGACAGGCTGTGTGCCTCAATTATTCAGCAGTGTTTCACGCACCTCCTGACATCACCACTGCACACTCGCAATGCCTGCATCTCAGCCACAGGCTCCATGCTGCCCTGGATCACACCACTGACCACCATCACACACATGCTACAGGCAAGAATGCTATCGTATGTTCGGACAAACCACACATGGCCACAGAACTGTGTAGGAATATGTTACATCAGAGGTCTTCAACGTTGTAGTGAACGGGTACAAATGAATTTTTCTGAAAAATAATGAAAATGTGTTCAAATACAACATTACTTGTACATTAAACATTTCATTGTATCACATTCAAATTGATCATGTACAATTAAAATGAACATTATTTGAAATTTAAACAACGACCTTAAATGTACGTTATTAAAGGTCAGATTTAAAATACAGGTTTAAGGGTCCATAGCTCGAAAAATGGTTGAAGTCTACTGTTTTAATAATAATAAAATACAGTAACACTTTATATTAAGATTCAATTAGTTAAAGCTGACATGAAATGGAAATTTACTGCCTATTTTCTAAATGTATTTTATTGATCTTATTGTAAATGATTCATCCATGTGCGTTTACATTTTTAACCTTAATTTTTAATCATAATGTCATAACTTGATCTTCCGGTGAAAAAACAGACTTCTCTCTAGTGACGTATGCGGGACTTTTCCAGTCATTTAGTTACAATCATCTGCAAGCTTGCATTCAGATCTGCCTCTATCCAATTAAAGTGCCTTAGATCAAATGTACTTTAAAGCAATAGAGATCATGAACTTACATGCAGCATTTATTAATCTAAAGTTAAATTTAGCTCATGTTAATGTATAATTAAAACATTACAAATCTATTAGTATGAGTAGAAAATAACATTAATCTAGATGAATAAATTCTTTAAAAGTATTGCTCATTCTTAGTTCATGACACTTCAACTATTTCACAGCAAAAGTAAAAGAAGATGGAGTATGAGTAACCAGAGGTAAGTTCACGTTGTTTATTCTTAGTGCTCTACATTTACATAATGTTTTCCTTTACATTTCATTGATTGGACTAATCTGAATTTTATGCAAAACAGGTAAGAAATTGAAGCATCACATTCAAATAAATTCAAGATAATATGAAACTGAAATGAAATCTTAAACTACACTTATGAGAACATACGAATAAGAATATGATCAGAAATCTGGAGCACTACCATTAAACAACAACTATAAGACTGCGGCACTCTCAACAAACAAGTGTACTGCTCTCTATATACTATAAGGTACAATCAATTATAATTGCAGTAATTGCAGACTATCCTGGCCTTTGAAAGATGACTCAGAGATGATAATAGCTTATATGCCGTTAACAGGTTGGCATGTCGAGAGATCTCTCTGGGCTTTGATTAAGGCCAAGGGAATGGGGAGATTTCACAAGAGGGGACTTTGGCACTTGTGTTGGGCCCACCGGATGAATAGCACTGTTGCTTTTAAATGCAGTGCCAGCCAGCATGATGAAGAGTCTGAAGAAAAACAGTTGCCAAGTTCCTTGAAATCAAGCCTAAGAGAGCTGCCAAACTATGCTGATCTAATTACCTGATGTTTTTTGTCCTAGGATCTTTTAAAATAAATCTGTAAACAAGTGTACTGCTCTCTATATACTATAAGGTACAATCAACGTTTGACTGAGTAATTGCAGACTATCCTGGCCTTTGAAAGATGACTCAGAGATGATAATAGCTTATATGCCGTTAACAGGTTGGCATGTCGAGAGATCTCTCTGGGCTTTGATTAAGGCCAAGGGAATGGGGAGATTTCACAAGAGGGGACTTTGGCACTTGTGTTGGGCCCACCGGATGAATAGCACTGTTGCTTTTAAATGCAGTGCCAGCCAGCATGATGAAGAGTCTGAAGAAAAACAGTTGCCAAGTTCCTTGAAATCAAGCCTAAGAGAGCTGCCAAACTATGCTGATCTAATTACCTGATGTTTTTTGTCCTAGGATCTTTTAAAATAAATCTGTTGTTTACAGGCCACCCACGGGGACCGTAGCATACACATGCGCACACAATGAGAACAGGATCTGTTATAATTCAGCTTGAAGGTCTACAGACAGTAGTTGTTACAGGATTTCGGTCTGTGTGAAACGTTCAGGCAAAGTTAACACAATTAATGTGTTATCTTGATCAGTCTTGGAGTAATCATGCCCATGCCAAGCTGACAATCCAAAAGAGTCATTTAATTAAAATCCATTTCATTTAATTCAACCCAACCTGATACCGTACGAGGACAGGTACACAAAGTGTCCGTTCCCCGAAATAGATTCACTGCTTTTGTTTGCGATGCAGCAGAAACAGTGACTGGGGCTCATATATCCTGACCATCTTCACCAACAACATAATTAGCACTGATGATACTGACAGTGATTAGTGACTCAACTGAGACGCAGAAAGAATGAATGAAAGAAGTAGCATCAACAGGTTCACTGCATTAGCTGTTACACATATGAGATCAGAGCACAGACCCATCCACGGAGAGACAGATTATCAATATTGTTCAGTCTGCTCGGATGGATTAACATCATGCTTCCTGTTAAGCATTTGTGGTAGGTTAAGATACTTTAAATTAGCATGTGCTCAGAGTACAATAAGACAACAGTTTATGCCATTCAAAAAATGAGAATTTGTCATATGTGGCCAGTTCTGATATAGTATGCTATATCACAAATAATGCAGATCTGATCAGATCAAAGAGAAAGACCTTAGTTACTTGAAGGATGATGGTGTATTGACACAAATAGAAGATTTAAGGACTAAAAGAACATTTTAGGAAGACGATGATGCAGATCAAATACACGAGTCAGACTAACAGGTTAGCAAAAGCAAAACCTTACCTCTTGCTGACAGCTTTTTTGTGTTGATGATCTTAGCCGCATATTCCTGGCTGGTTGATTTCTTTACACATCGCCGAACAATAGAAAAGGCACCCCTGTTTGAAAGAAACACAGCAATGTCAATGTCAATAACTACACAATCAAGCAAGCCTGAAAATTCATTTAAGCAAAAAACATCACATAATCATAATGTTACACAAATGAAGCAAATAGCGTGCAACAGTGCCCATCCAACATTTTAGCAGCGTTGGTTCCAGAAGTAAAGTTTTCACTTTTCCCATAAGGATTTTCCAAAAAGTCTTTGATTTGGACTTGTAAGCTATGAACGAAACCAACCAGCTATGAGGTGAATCACAACTTCCAAAAAACGTTCAAATTGAAGCAACAGATTTAATGAGGTAGAGAACTACAATGCTATGAAACACTGCAAATGACATAATCAAATAAAAAATTAGGGAGAAATATAAAACTATTGATTTAAAGGTGTTGATTATACACATATACAAACAATACATTTCATGTTTGTTTGTTTTTTTGCGCAAAATATGTAGATTATGCATTCAAGTATTTAAAGGGGTCATATGATGCAATTTCATTTTTTCCTTTCTCTTTGGAGTGTTACAAGCTCTTGGTGCATAAAGAAGATCTGTAAAGTTGCAAAGACTAAAGTCTCAAATCCAAAGAGATATTCTTTATAAAAGTTAAGAGTCAGCCACGCCTACCTAAAACGGCTCGTTCTAACACGCCCCCACATACCTACGTCACTATCTGGGAAGATTTGCATAACGCCGCCCAAATATTCACGCAAAGAAAGAAGGCGTAACTAATAATGTTCTTTTTAGCAGCATCATATGACCCCTTTAAGTAGTTTGAGAGCTTAGGGAGACTAGTATCATTTGCTTTGATTCTCTGATTGGTAGAGATTTCTCTGCAAAATCCTGGGTAATGTAGTTTTTCCTCAGGATTTCCACTTTTGAACATGGTTATTTAAAAAATATAAGTTGAAACAATGTGGGCTGATGACTTCAACCAAAGTATATACCACAATTTTAACGTCATAGCTCACATCTGGGGCCTCATGTATAAAACTTTACGTAGATTTCATCCTAAATGTGTGCGTACGCACAAAAGCTAGATTTTGCTTATGTACAAAAGTTTTCAGATTTATAAAGCCATGCGTACGCCAGAACCTGCGCAAAATTCCCTTTGTAATACCCAGTCAGCGGAAGATTGTGCGTACATGAATCTCCACCC